AGATGTGGAGTGGGTAAAAAATATTTCCCATTCTGCAGGCTGTCATTTTGTCCTAATTCTGGTGTCCTTTGTCTTATAGAAGATTTTTGCATTCAAGAGGTCCCATTTTTTAATTGCTGATCTTAGTGCTTGCACTCTCCATGTTCTGTTCAGGGTGTTGTCCCTGTATCAATAAGTTTAACATTATTCCTCATTTTCAGTGTTCATTGTATTAGATTTTATGTTGAGGTCTTTCATCCACATGGACTTGAGTTTTATTGCTAGTTGTTGTGACACACAACAGTAGGATTTGCTTAAGGAGATGGATGCAGGAGGATGCTCAATATTTTCAAACTAGAGTCTTAGCAATCTACAACAGATAAAAGAATATGCCAATATATAAGCAAAGGCAGATAAGCAGGGATCATGTAGAACTTAGAAGAAGCTTTCTCTTACCACAGCAGGGTAAAAATATGCTGGAACTAGACTTGATATTGCTGATGAGAACAAAGGGGCAAACTATGGGAAAGCAAATTTCTAGAAAGAGAAATACACTTACTCCCCATAGTATTGGACCTTTGGAATAGGTTACAAAGATGACCACAATGGATGAAAATGAGTAAGAGATGACAAATATGCACACCAGGATGAGGATAGTTTGAGCAGCTCTGTCCTCAGGTGAGACTTTCAGAAAGTTCTGAGCACTGTGAATGTACTTGACTTGTCTCTTATGTCTGTAGAGGAGACTCACCATGGAGACACTTGAGCAGGCCATGAGACCCAGACACAGGCCATCAGAGAAGCACAGTAAGAACATATAAAGAGCTGTTGCCACGTTGCCAGAAACAAACCATGAGCAGTACCCATAATTCCTCCTGTTAGTTGCATTTTTGTTGTAAATGGGCCCTGACACTCTTGCTGGAGTCAAGAAGTTTAGAATCAGGTGCACAATCCAGCCTAGTGAGCAAGAGGGAACAATGTACTTGGTCACTCTGTGTTTAAGTGTCATCCACCTGGAGTTGCTGGGGTTGATTGTGATCACTTGGAAGCAACTCAGTAGGCACATGGCATACAGGGACATCCCCCTTGTTGTTCGGTAAATATATATTATCAATTTACATCCAACATCATCTAGGAAATATTTAAATCCAAAGTCTAACATTGTCCGTGGAATGCCTCTTGATATGAGAGACAAGCAGTTGGCTAATGTCAAGTGCTCTATAATCACGTCTTTTGGCATTAAATGCCTTCCAGTGAGTATCAAAATGAGATAATATGATAATATTGAGGAATTCCCAAGCACTCCTACTATAATCTGAGAGAAGAGGAAAATTCCCATTGCCAAGTTGTCAGAAGCCATTTTCAGTACGATTAAAAATGTAAATAAGGCTGGGCGGTGGTGGCACACGCCTTTAATCCCAGCACTCGGGAGGCAGAGCCAGGCAGATCTCTGTGAGTTCGAGGCCAGCCTGGGCTACCAAGTGAGCTCCAGGAAAGGCGCAAAGCTACGCAGAGAAACCTTGTCTCAAAAAACCAAAAAAAAAATGTAAATAAGTTTATTATGGTCAACAGACCCTGGAAATATATTATGGATGTGCATTGTTTCATGATGTTAGCTAAAATAATATATTTATCAGTTTACTGTATTTACATAGCTCTCTCATTGAAGAAGAATTTCTGAAACTTTGTTCCTTATTGAAGGACATATCTGCACTCTTTAAAGGAGAGTTTTGGATATGTTTACTGAAGATTAATATTTTCACAGGACCAGGTGCCACATGACCTTCAAAATAGCAATAAAGAGATAGAAGCAGACATACATATGAATTTGAGGCCCACCTGATCTACAGAGTTAGTTGCAGGACAGCCAGTGATACACAAAGTGAAACTGTCTCAAAAATCCTTCTCTCAAAGACTAATGTTTTCATGGCTTTTGACTAAACATGGTGATTTAGGGTCAATTTTCAAAGAAAGAGTTTTTAAATGCCATAATTTCTGAAATTCACATGAACAAAACTCAAAATTCATCATGGAGAGCAAGAGAAAAATGTGTGAAGATCATATTTGGAGTGAGGGGTTAAATATTCAGAATATATAGAATATTTTATTTTAAGATATATTTTAGTGTTAATTGTGTGTGTACTAGGGGGGTCACTGCATATGAATGGGATTCCCAGCAGGGGCCTGAAGCATGGGCTCTCAGGCAGATGGATTTGTAGATGGTTGTGAGCCACCGGTAGGAGCTAGTAACTGGACTCAGATTCAAAGTAAGAGCTGTATGCACTCTGGAACACTGACTCATCTCTCTACCCTAAAAAGAATATTTAAAACTAAGTTTGAAAAATCTTAAATATAAAACAAATGAGAAGTGTGTTCCAGACCTGGATAAATTTCCTACAAACAATTCAGAAATGTTCAAACTGTGTGCAAAATGAGGCCCAACACCACCAATAACTAAAGGAATGCACTGAGGTGATGTCAATCAAAGTTGCAACAAGCTATCATCACATACAATATAAACAGTTATTAGCTTTCTCAATATGCTAAAACAGAATTACTAGGTAACATAGTTGTATAATTTTGGAGCATGTATCCAAAAGACTTGATGTCCCACCTGAGAGATGTCCCACCTGAAAGAAGATGTCCCACCTGAGACAAGATGTACACTGCTGTGTTATTCACAAGGAAATGATGTCCATCCATAAATTCATTGGTAGATAATGGAAGTGATATATATCATTGTGGAATTGTGTTCATCTGTAAAGGAGAATGAAATCATGAAATACTAAGGAAATGGGTGAAATTACAAGGAAATCAAGAAAGTGGCAGAGATACAGGAAAACAAAAACCACACGTTCTTTCTCAAAGAGGGACATTGACAGCAACATCTGTATCTATGCTGGTGTTGAGAGTATGCATTTATGGAGTATAAAACCAGAAAGGAAATCAAAAGATGCAGAAGAAAGTGGTATTGAGGAGTCAAGGGGGAGGGAATAGTACAAACGTGTTATTAAAGTGAAAAGGATTATAAAGTTAGAGAGGTGCCAGTGGGTTTGGGGGGAATGGAGGAGAAGAAAAGTGGAAGAGGATAATCAATAAATTTGCTTGAAAGTGTCATAATGTAATCAAGTACCATGTCTTTTAATTAAATTTTTAAAAAATTAAACCACATGATGAAAGGAGAGAACCAGCTCCCCAAACATCTTCTAACCTCCACACATGCATGCTGTGTGATGTACACATTCCTTCCCAACAGTCCGTGAATCATGTGATGAAAATTTAAAAGACATGAGGGTGATGATTGACAGGGATGCAAAGAACAGGTGATGAGTGTTTGTTCCTTGAGTTTTGGGTTTGAGATGAAATGTTCTGGAAATCAGCTACAGAACAATAGGATCATTTTCCACATGACTGAACTGTACACTGACAGTGGTTAATATGATAAATACTTGTAGTTAAAACTTAATTCTAATTTAAAAAGTAAGGGCACTGTCGTCAATAAATGAGAAATTCTTGCAATGTTGTGTGCTACAGAGCTACAGGGATGACAGTAAATTAAGATGATACTGACTTGGGCTCATAGATTAGTGTTATAAAGTTTAGAGTCATATTGATAAACTTGCATTTTTGTCTACAAGCAAAAGTTAGAAAAGTATTAGTTAGATGTATATAATATGACAGAGTTTTGATGCTATTATTTTGGTTTGTGATTCACTTATTCACAGAATTACATGACATGAGGAGATATATGATAGCATTGAAACTCTTGACAATGACAAGACAAAAGAAATATAGAAAGCCAAACACACCTTTGTGTATTTTCCAGAAGGAAACAGGCCTAATTCTTCACATGACAAGAGTACTTTATCATTATGTTCTTGCAGAAAGCACGTGAGCTGGAACCACATAACAACCAATTTTGGGGTATATTTAGTGAAACGTAGATATAGAATCAGGAAAACAAGTTTCATGTTTAAGAATTACTGAAATACCAAGAAATACATAATATTCCTAGTATGCATCTATTCCTTACTTGTAATTCACTCAGTTTTTAACTCTTAATCTTCAAGCTTCCACAAAATTTATCTTTCCTAGAAGAATAATTACTGTATAATTCTATCATTGATACAAATTTTAATTACTAGTATCAGTATTCTATTCCACCCATTCCTATAATCTAAATATTCAGACACAAAAATAATTGGTAATTTCTAGAAATATGTAAATTGATTCATAGGGGAAATGAAAAGATTAAAGATACTTCAAGCTCTTTAGGATGAGATGGGGATGCAGCTCATGGCTTGTCCTGTTGGTGAAATGCCTTGGTTGTGATTCCCCAGGATCATCAGTACACAAAAAGAAGAATCCAACTAAATCTTCCCTTTAAAAACTAAAACTTAGGAAAAGGCATGTAGAAAGATAGAGAGAAGATGAGGGAGATGGAGACAGAGCCAGAGAGGAGAGAGATAGAGACAAAGGCGACCAGGTAAAGCTAGACAGATGAAAATGAGGTGATATCACTAAGAGATATTTTACTAAGGTATTTCTACTACAAGAGACTTAGTATTCAAGGTTCACCCACCTTAGGGAGGATTGGCTACAGTAACTCTGCCCTGAGTTAGAAATAACCCCAATTTCATCTGAAAACCTATTTAAATTTCCTGTTCTTATACCAATACCGGAGTTCTCCCTACCCCGCCTATTCCTTTATATCTTAACTTCCTTTATTCTTTCTTTTCTTCCTTCCTTCCCTCCTTCCTTCCTTTGATTCTATATTCTTTCCTTCCTTACCTCCTCCTCTCTCTCCTTTCAGCAGAGCTGTTGAAAGATTATTTTAACAAAGACTTCTTAAGTAAAGCACAATTAAGAGAGGCACTTAGCTAGAGAATAAAACTTCTCCAATAGCATAAGCATGGCTTCTCCAAGGAGTGCTTCTAATGTCTTTAGTTCTTGCTACTCCTATTCTCTGGTCACTCACCTCAGTGCTCCGTGACACCATGATGGTAGGTGTTGCCATGAGAAGTGAGACTCTGCTATAACTGGGAAGGGACACTTTCCCCGATTTAAAGGTTCATGATCTCTTGGTACTCTTTCCCAGAAGATTGGTGATTTTCAACTCACTTCTAGACCCATGATGACAGCATCTCCACAAGGATCTGAAGTAACTTTTAAACACCTTGGTCACATCACAAAAGATAAAAAAATGAGCAACTCCAAGGAAGCAATTAGGAATTAGAATGGGAACTTTCCTGCCAGTCCTTTGGGCACAAAGCATATAACAGAGAGACATGCAGCAGGAACAGAGCTCCATTGCTATTAAAGTAGAGGCAAGCTGCATGGCCTTGCCCCAAGAGGGACTTTCCCTATCACCTTGTATCCTAGATAGTATCCACAACTCAAAACTGTTAGGATGCAAAGACACTCAGGAAAAATGCCTACCTGAGGTGCCTATTAACATATAAAAGGGAAGCATTCAAGAGATGGGACAATATTTCAGTGGATAATAGTGTTTGATGCAGAAATCCAATGACCTGAGTTTGTATCTAAAGCACAACATTAGAACACAGTTCCAAGGGCTGCAGTGATGGCTCAGTGGTTAAGAGCCTTTCCCACTTTTGCAGATGACCAAGTTTCACTCCCAAGCTCAGATGGAGCTTGAGATTCCAGATCCTGGGGATCGGATGCCCCTTCTAACATGTAGGAGCTTCTTCACATATGTACACATATATACACTCAAGCAAAGACACATGAAATAAAATAAAGTGAAATAAAAAAAATTAAAAGGCAGATCCAGTGGCAGAGGCATCTGTCATATGAGCTCCTAAGAGGTTGGAGAATGAAGACAAGAAGATCTCTGTGAGCTTCTGAGCCACCTTACCTGAGGTTCCAATCATAGAAGAGAGTCTGTCTCAAATAAGGTGGAAGGTAAGGCCCAAAGCCCTACACAGAGGCAACCACTTACACATAGGACACACACATACACACATGAAACATAACACACAGGAGATACACAGAAGCATCAACATGTATTTACTAACAAGAATTAAGATAACAGCCAATATTTAGGCATCTGGTAAATTTTAGTGAACAAACTGTCAAACCACTCATTTTCTTTACCCACACATGCTACTTGGAAGTGACAACAAATGGAACGACACAGAAGTTAAATGACAAATTTTCACTGGCTAAGTGCTAGTTAGAAGCCACACGCTTCTTCATGTGCCGACGAGACACTGACCTGGAGCCCTGCTAATCTCTGGTGAGGAAGGTACACAGTTGAGTCTAATTTGTGGCAATTCCTCAGGTGACAATGGTATGTGCATGACTGATGTAAACTGTGGTTACTGGGAGCAGGTGTGGGCCTTCTCTCCTGTGTGAATCTTTTCATGTGCCTGCAGGTTGGTGTTGTGTCTGAAGGATCTTCCACATGTGCTGCAGGCGAAAAGGTTTCTCTGGTTATGTCAGATCTCATGAACTCAGAAGTCTGAGGCTTGATAGAATCCTTTCTGACAAATGGGACAGCCAAATGGCCTCTCATTTCTGTGTCTTCTGTGGTGGACTGAAAGGTTACAGGGATATTTGAAGACTTGGGAAAATTCCTCATATTTGTAAGGTTTGAGGTTTCTGTTGAGTCTTTAGCTCTGACCTGCACATGTGGAGATTATCTCATGATTCTGGTATACAAGGACCACAGGTACTCTTCTTATAGCTGGAGGTGCCTCGACTTGCTCTTCTGGAATCCTGAGGTGTTTGTTTCAAAGGAAACACCAACATCTTCAGGCTCAGGATACTGCCTTCTCTCTTTTCATGCCCAGTGGGGGGGAACAAAGATAGTTTCTTATGAGCTCAGGCCACAATGTTGTCTTCAACTAGTCAAGACATTGAAGGAGGATCAATCAGCCTTTCTTTAAGGGGCCAGCCTCTGTTTTCTGCATGGGCCTAACTTCATCTGATCCTCCCTTACATACATTGTCTCCACAGACGCAAACTGCCTTGGCTCTTAGGAACATGACTGCACCTTATGGCAGCAGTGTACTTGGAATTGGTTTCAGTCATGAAATTCTCAATTTAAAACAAAGCTCCAAGGAGTATAAATATGGAATTAAACAAACTGTGAAATGAAAACTATGTATACAGTAAGAAACTCAAATATACATCAATGATGGAGGTCGGCATTGTAATCCCAGGACTTGGGAAGCAGAGGATGTATAATTTCCCTGAGTTCCTGGACATCCAGGGCTACACAATGTAACCATGTCTCAAATAATGAACTGACCAAAAAACAAATATTTAAACAAAAAAACCAAAACTCTCAGAAGCCATTTGTACAATGACATCTAAGCATATGTGTATGCATTGTTCAAATTTTTTAATACCTTGGCCATTTCTGTCAATGGCTGAGAAGTATGAAAATATAGAACCCAAAATAGGACCCAATATAATTACCTCTCTATTCTATTCTATTCTATTCTATTCTATTCTATTCTATTCTATTCTATTCCTTTTTTCCAGATTTGACAATTTGCTATGAGGTACAAGTAATGAAGGCATTTCTTATGTGTGTGTGTCACTGCTGTTTATGCATGGGAAAGCCAGATTTCAACAACAGAAAACTTACTCTATCATTCTGCCAACTCAGCTTTGAAGACACAGACATGGTGCCTTAATGACATGTACTAGCAAATTTGGAAGGACATGTAACTTCTTTGATCCCCAGTTTCTGCATCACATGTATTGGGATCACATGCTAGTGTTTCAAGACATATTTTTAAGTGTGTGCTAAGGTTCCAACTCAGACCTCATGATTACATTGTAAGCATCTCCCTGACTTAGCCATCTCTAGGACCCGGGTATCTCCTCTAAAGCCTTAAGCTCTTGCCCAAATGTTAATTCCCCTGTCTCTCTGTTACTATGTAAATAAATTAAATTTAAGTGTGTCCATCAAACTATCCATGGGTTTATTTTACTTTATTCATGCTAATTTAGGGTACTGGATAGTCTCTCTTGTAAGGATTTTGTTGGGGCAGTACATTCTCATGAATAATAAAAACTACAACACCTTCTCAGTACTTCTCAAAATGACTGTCTTCCTGAGTTAGCCATATCTCATGCCAGGAACTCCTCCTGACAGGAGGCTCTGACACTCATCAAAGAGGCTCTCCGTGAAACTCCCAGGGTTCCTGCCACTTGATTCCCACTTCTCTTTCAAGGCAAATTTGTCCTTATAGTTTACAGTTCTGAGGGAAAAAAACTCCAAGACCAGTTGAGAAATCATCTGTTCCTTGCTCTGCTTTTCTGGCTGCAACCATGAGGTAAACATCTCCCAGAATCTTTGCATCTCCTGCTTTGCACAATTATTTGGGGGAAAGTTGAGCTGCATACCTAAGGAGTTATAGATCTCTTTTCCAGGCTGGCTTGGAATTAACTCTGTATTCTTTAATTTAAGGTCATTTGCTGGTAACTCTGTCTTAAAAGTGACTTTGAGCTGTGAAGCCATTCTGATGAGGATCTTCAGAAAGATCCAAGCATAACAGTTCCATATTTGTCTTTTAATCTGAGGACCTGTTAACAATTTGTGGATGTGTGGAAGCTATGAATTAAAAAGAGAAAAGACATGTAAATAAAGTAAAAAAACAAAACTAAAAATTAACTGTTATAGTCGGTTTCATTGTTATCTGACAGATGCATAAATAACAGCAGCAAAAACAAGCAAGGAAACAAAACAGCAGAAATTACCTTTCCAGATGGTTCAGTCTCAGATGCAATCCTAACTCAGGCCCAGCTCTGTGTCTCACATGCAATGCTTGAGGCTTCTCTGAAAAGAGATCACATCTGAAGCAAGCATTGCACCTCATCATAATGAAAGGGGACAGTACCACACTGAAGGAGCATCAAGATTGATTTCCATCTCCCAGGAATTCTGATCCTTTGCTCTCATATTGTATTCATTCCAAACCTGTCAGAAGTTCCTAATTTCCATAGTTTTGATCCCAAATGCTGCAGTGAACAGGGGGAAACCTCTGGCAGTGGAATTAGACAGAAGGCATTTCCCAGAAGGTGCCTGATGCACAACACAGAAAAGAGAAGCTAAACCAAGTTCAGCATTGTAGGCAGAGAAAGGTGCCTATATTTTATTTTGGAAAAACTTGTTGTTTGATAGACATCTTTTGAGAACTCTAGTCTGGGGAGAAAATAAAATATTCTGTGTGGCACCTATGGACATATAATTTTTGACAAAGAAGCCAAAAGTGTACAATGGAAAAAAGACAGCATCTTCAACAAATGGTGCTGGCATAACTGGATATCAACATGTAGAAGGCTGCAAATAGATCCATATCTGTCAC